ACAGCTGCACTTGCACAACATGCTAACTCACAGACAAGCAAACAAACATTTGGTTCAGGTCAAGACTTAAGTTCTAACAAATGATTTAGCAACCCAAGGATATTCCATTTAAACTGAATCAATCGGATTTCCACAAAAATGACAGCTATGCATTATGCCATTACAAAATATATTGAAATATTTATTCTGCAAGTAATTAAAACATGTCTCTGGTTTCTCTTCAAATCGTGTAAACTGTAAATCTTTCACAGTAAAGTTAGTTGAGACAGTTTCAAAAGTGAAAATGTTCCTGGCAACCCTATACATGTAATATTGCATCCTTTTTTAAAGATTAATTTAGAACTTGGTGCCCTTCCATTCATTCATCACAGGTCCCTCGCATTCTAGCTTGGGTATCATTAATGTAAAATGAGAAAATAGCAACAACAGCAAAATAGATTCCATAGCCTACATGGAAATATTAAAAAAATAAAATCCTTACAGATTTCAGTCAGTATTAAAAAAACCTAAGAAAATACTCATTTTATCTCTCCTTTTTATTTACTTTGTGCTTATTTATTCCAAGTAAACATTTACTATAGCGAGGTAAAGCGGCCAAATCCTGATTACATGGAAAACCTTCTAAAAATGCTCTGAACATCACAGAAGTGGGTAATCTGTATCAGAATGGAACCACTACTGCAGTCTGCAGGAAAAGGTTCACAATTAAATCCTTTTCTAGACACTTCTGTCTAGAATTTCTGTCTTTATACTCAGAAATTAAGCAATTAGATAAATCTGGTTAGGTGTGTATGAATCCTGAGGAAGCATTCTTCACATCAATGTCCTTTCATCACCTGCGGGTTAAAAAGTGGCAAAGTTGAGACACAAATTCATCCTCAGAGCAAAAATGAGGGTCGGGTCATGTGTCTGGCTGCAAAATGAACACAGGATGGGGGTTATAATGTTTCTTCACAGCTACAGTTTAAATGCTACTCATAGTTAAAATAAGGGGTAGGGGAGAGATATTGCAGAGGAGGCCATGAGGAGAGACCACTTACTTGTAAATCTGTACTCATCCTCCCGTCTTCTTATCTCTAATTCTAAGAGACAGGATGAAAATAGTAACATGATGGAGACAGAGATAAGAGATATATTAAAAAAGACACTACATTTTCTTCACCTCTTGCCCTCTTCTGAATACAGGTTTATGGAGCAACGGACGTCACTGACAGCAAAGAAAAGACATGCTCACACCCACACACATATACACTCACCAGTGAAATATTTGCGATTTTATAATGCAGCTTATAAATGACACAGAAGACTTTCTAATACAAGCATCTACGGTTTTGCCATAGCAATAGGAGTAAAAAAAAAAAAAAAGCAAAATGTACAGCATTTTATCATGTACAGGTAGCCCTCAATTTACAATCGTTCATTTAGTGACCATTCAAAGTTACAACAGCATTGAAAAAATTGACTTATGACCATTTTCACACATACAATTCATGGTCATGTGATAAAAATTCAGATGCTTGGCAACTGTTTCGTATTTATGATGGTTGCAGTGTCCCACACACTCATGGGATTACCTTTTCCAACCTTCTGACAAGCAAAGTCAGTGGAGAAGCCAGATTTATTTAACAACCATGTTACTAACTTAACAACTGCAATGATTTACTTAACTTATGGCAAAGAAGGTTGTAGAACAGGACAAAACTCACTTAACAAATGTCTTACTTACTTACAATTTTGGTCATAAGTTGAGAACTACCTGTCATAAATGTCTACTCAGAAAGAAAGCTCTGCTAAATTCAATATGATTTCCTCCCAAGATTGCAGTCTGTCACATGGCATAAAAATGGGAAAATATTACTGTATAATGCCACCCAAAAAAACCTTCACATCGAAGTCTAACTAACTTAATATTTCTACTTCTATATTCTTTTTTTGGACAAATCCCTAATGGCCCATTTAATGTCAGCATCATTACAGGAGATCACATGTTTTTATTGAACCACACCTCTTTAATAAAGTCACCTACTCTCATGGTGGCTACAACAATTCCATGAATTTTTAAAATGATTTTTGTTTTCTGTCCTTCCTTGTGGCAGGAAAAAAGATTTGTATTAATCTGTTTTTTTTTTCCAATTTGCTAATAATACTATGTATGCCATGCTGAAAATAGCTGTGTTGCCTTTGGCTGTATACACTTTTTTATTACTGCTTGTAGCAGAATCAAAGATATCTCAACTGTTTATCCATTAAAAGAATAGTATCCTATTTGGCATTTGGTATCCATAAATTCCTTATGTGAATTTATTTGCAAACACTTGAAAGAATTCCAGCTGTTAGTTCCTATGTGTTGGAAGTACAGAGGACATGAAACTAGTACAGATATTTAAAGCAGCTTTTAAGATATTTTAAAATAATGGGAAAGAAAAACTGCAAGAGAGGAAGTCAGTAAAAAAAAAAAAGGATTTGCTCTCATTCCATCCCTCCATTTGATGATCTGTTTTTTACCTCAACAAACCGTATTTCAATTTGAATTTTTTTTTTTTAAAAAAAATCTCATTTTCTTTTCTGGGGCCTCTTTTAGATATATGTTTGTTATCTTTTTTCCTGCTTTATTTTATTCTGCTTTATTTATTTATTTTTATTTTAAATTACTAAGGAAGCCTTATACTTGCAAAATTAAAAGAGAGAGAGAGAGAGAGAGAGAAAAAATAACGAGTATCGGTTATCTGCTCCTGGTGCAAGTGAGCTACTAACACCAACAGTTTCTGCACTTTTTAAAAACAGTCATTTGCACATGGACCACAGTAGGAAAGATCGTATCCAACTGTCCCTGAATGCAAGGTAAAATGCTCTACCAACCTCTTGGAGTTAGAGAAGCCTGTTTTTCAACTTCGGCTTGTTGCCTCAGATTGGCAGGGATATTGTTGTAGATTCTCTTGTAGTGATTGTACACAGCAACCGAAAGCACCTTCTTTGCGAAACACTGACCAACAACGTACTTGTCGAGGTAGTTATAAATCTAGCAGAAAAAGCCAATAGATCCTCAACAACAGAAGGCGCTTCATTAGTAGAGACAAGCAATAAAAATTCAGGATCAGAGGGGGAGGGGAGGCCTGACTGCGAAGGCTTCGGGACTGTTATTTACCCTTCAGCTTCTGTTAAGATTCAAGGGACTCCTTTCTCCGCAACTGTTTTTATACTATGAGCTTTTAAGATTCCTTGCTTCCACCATGTGGTGGTTTGGTTTGGGGAGCTGGCAGTGCAAAGTTTTTTTTTAAAAAAAGATGGGAAGGCTCTCAGATGGGAACTGCACCAAAGAATCTTTTTCTAAAGCTTGTCAAAACTACAGAGCTTAAAAATATTTCGGGGAAGCTACGAGGGCTACAAAACTAGGAAAGCCAGCAAGGTATTTTTTGGAAACCAAGAGGCTTTTCTTCTTCTTTAGGAAAAATTGAGAAAATGTGAGATAGCACTAATACTTTTTTAAAAAATTTTTTACATATACATATCAGTTGGTGTATATATAATGATATGTACAGGCACCAGTACTTTAAAAGGTCTTGGAAAATGTGAGGAATGGAGACGAACTTTTGGATAGACATGAAGTGTCACATAAATTATGACAGTTGACAAACTATGACAATTCTTTATATGGCTTAACCTCCAGTTCCCTAATCATCTCTGTTGCTCTTCTCTGCACTCTTTTCGGTCTCAACATCTAGAGCATGGGTGTCAAACCCGTGGCATTACTTTGCCGCCGTGTGATGTTTCACGTTTTTCCCATTCACAGAGCTGGGGTGGGCATGGCTTGCACAGGACACATCTGGCCAGCAGGCTGCCAGTTTGATATCCCTGATCTAGAGGAAAGGATAGTATGATTTCACAAGAGAGGGTACATTAAGGGCCCAATTAATGAGGATTGCCAAAGGCTACAGTAATTTAGCTCATCCATTTAAATTAAAAAAGCATGCAATATGAAAGAGGTGGTGTCCCCTCAGCTAAGGTTAATTGGCTGTACCTTCTTGGGTGGAGGTGGTGGCTTCTGTTGGAAGGCCAATTTTACAGCTTCTGCCGCTGTCTCTGGCTCTTTAAGGATGCTTTTCTTAGAGTCGGCTTCTGACAACACAACGAAGAAATGGTGGCATTTTTCACATTTCACAAAGCGGGTGGAAGCTGCAAAAAAGTAGAATCAGAACCTGCTTGGCAACAGCTGGTTTTCCAACCAGGCAAGTTAAACAGTCGGTTTGAAATACAGTGCTTACAAAATGAGCTAACAAATCCTTTTAAAATAAGGGGAGGTTGGTCCACAGGTGGCCCCTCAAAACTCAGTTTGACAGGTTTGGTGTCAAAAGCACTAAATTTTTGTTAGTATGAGCTCCCTTTCCCCTTTTTCAAAATGAAAAGCTTCCTGGAGCCAATTTCACAAACTTCTAATTAGACAAAGACTATGTTCCAGCTGCACAAGTCCAAACTCCAGTTTCTCCTGAAAAGCCCCAGACCATGTAGCACTGCACATAAGAGATTAATCATATGAAAACTATTATTTGATACCTGTGTACTTTCAAAAGATTTTTTAAAAGAATCACCCAGAAAATTGGCTTTTCATCTGCTTGAAAACTACACACCCTGTGATTACAGTGCTTTTATTCCTATTGTGCCATGTATGTTCTTAGACAAAGGGATGACATCATATATATTTACACAGACTTAAGAACTAGCGTACAGCAATTTTCAGGATCAATGGCCGTTGTTCCAAGTGATGATTGAGATAGCCAGAAATCCGCCCTTTCCCATTGTTGAAAATTATCTTAAAGTATGATTTCCAAATATTTTAAACAATTCCCCAAAAGTTTGGAACCTTTAGTTCGACCTAATGAGGTGATCAGGACTTTTTTCTCCTGGTGCTTATAAACCAGAACATTTAACTCTTAATGCAGAATTTCCACTGCCTTCCTAAATGCTTTTAAGTTCAATTCAAGACCTGAGCTTAACTTTTAAAGATCTGAGTATTTGAAGTCTAACTCAATGTATTCCCATATAACCCTACCTAGGATCACAAGGACTTAGCTCTCCAGCTCATCTGGAGGTTGAATTTAAAAGTTTAAAGGGAAAAAAGCTCCTCAGTAGCATTGCAGCTTTGGCACCATGTCATTTAATGATTTTAGGATGTCTCTTGTGCCTCTTCTACTGGAAACCGACCAAACCTAAATTTTGATAGGATGTTTAACGTATTTGGAAAACTAGAACAGTTTGTTGTAAACATTAATGGAGTTTAGGCATCACTTTTGGAATTCTTTACTGGTCTTTATGCTTCAAGTGTTAGATATATTCTACATGATTACACATTATATAATATGGTACATTGTATGGTTAAATAATTAATTTTGTATACCAGATATTTCCTGTAAATGAGAGGGATATAAGTAAACTATTTTGAGTTAATTTAGACAACTCCCTGAAATCAAGCATAACATGGAACACCAAATCTGTTTTTCTTTCTAAGTGAATTATTTGCTTCTTGACCAGAAGTCACTACAGCCATCTACTCAAACCATTTAGGTAGTTGTTATTAGCACAGCTTCTTTCTTTTTTTGCTGCATGGGTTAATATTAATATCTATGACATGCTTTTAAGAAAATCTGTTGTACTTTTAACATTTTTAATATGCCATATCAGCCAGAGGTCTTTAGCAAAACTGCTGCCTTGTTCACATACTAATCTATTTCAGAAAGCTATGAGATAAACTTTTGTTTGTCCCCTGAACTCTTATGAAGGTAAGGATATAAACAGATAAACATTAAAATTCATTTCATCAAAATGTAGCTTAAAGCCCATGTTTAGAAAAAAAAACCCACCCAGTTCTCTCAGATAATCAGTTTCTAAAACCTGAACGTATCTATTTCCAACAATCTTAATTGCCAGCAGGACATAAACTTAGATTTATGATGCCACTTGAGGTAACAGAAAAGAAATCACATAAAGGGTTTTTTCTTTTCTGCTCATGTTGAAAGATCGGTTAGTGAGTAAGCATGTACAGTGATAAAGCACAATTTTGGGACATGCAATACGTGCCCCACCCCTCGGGTGGAGGGAAGCTGCCATTTAGCACTTAATGCAAAGACACCTTTAATTGGGGCTAATAACCATGACTCCACCAACTGCAGAGTATCACACACAAAGCTGATACGCTGCATGTAGAACAAGATCACTCTCAAGTTAGCAAGCAAGAAAAAAAAAATGATTTAAAAGTTGAAGATTCAAGCGTATTAAAAAGACTACCCAACATCGGGGGTTTTGATGCGGGCTGCATTGACAACTCTAAGAAGATTAGATGGCTGATGATTATACAACTGAGAAACAAGCTTGACTATTTACCGTCCATTAATCTTTTTCATTAGGACCTGCTGAATTAGCAAATAAAAGGACTGAAACAGCATAAGGACATGGTTTGGGTTCAATGGTAATACGAAGCTGTGTTGTTAGAACTGTAGTTGTTATTCCAAACTCTGGATGTTAAGTGGTATGCTACTTATTTCCACGGCATTCAAGAATCAATGTCTGAACTCCTTTGCAAAATGACTGGCATTCAGGACGGATTGAGTGTTAGCACCTTGAGCAAATAATGCATTTTTTTTTTTACTAAAATGGAGAAAGTCAGAAGAACTTACAGACGAAAGTCTCCACATGTGTGCACAAATCACCGCACTTCGGGCATCGCAGCTGGCTTCCACCTTTTCCTGAGCTTCCGGAACTTGACTTTTTACCACCGCCTTCCCCAGCAGTTTTCTTAATTAAAAAGAAAGAGAAAAGAAGAAACAGGATCTTGAAAGTCAGATAATAGATTTATAATGAGCTGCTGGCTAGTCCTCGACTGATGAGACCAACTGAGCCCAAAATGTATTTTGCTGAGACAGTTAAGTGAGATTTGCCCTATTTTCCAACCTTCCTTGCCACAGTTGTTAAATGAATCCCTGCAGTTGTTAAGTTAGTAACGCGGTTGTTAAGTGAACCTGGCTTCCCCATTGACTTTGCTTGTCAGGTCGCAAAAGGGAGCACGTCATCCTGAGACATGTAGCTGTCGTAAGTATGAACCAGTTGCCAAGCGTCCAAATTTTGATCATGTGACCACAGGGAATGCTCCAACAGTCGTGTGAAAACTGGGCATAAGTCACTTTTCTCAGTGTTGTTGTAACTTCGGTCACTAAATGAATAGTTCTAAGTCATGCATTACCCGTAAATCTTTTGCTACTTTGAAATCAGCAGTTACCCTCCCCTCCACGATCTCTCTCACAACTCAGTTTCTCTCTCAAAACTGCACGTTGTGTTCTTTCAAATCCAACGATAACAGCAAATGTTCACAGTGAAGCAGATACTTCCACGTGTCGCTGAAACTGGCACCCTCAGAGAACGCTTTAAGTGCCATCATTCACTAGAAGATGTTTCTGATTCAAATGGATCAAGGGGAAAAAAGTTCCTAAGCCTGCCCAAAATTCAGCAATTCATGTTCTGTGAAGAGACCCTCCTTCAGCTTCCTTTCTCTACAGTGAAAGCTACTCAATGGCTTCCTCCTCCAGTCAGTCCCCAGGCTGTCAAAAAGAAGGAAGAGGACAAGCGGAGAACACTTCTCCATTTTCTTTTCCAGTATGCAGTCAAGGGAAATGGGGCCAGGAAACTCTCATCGTTGGCAGAAAGCTCAAGTGGAAGTGCCAGCTGTAGCAGATGCTTGGTCTTGTTGTTTCCTCAGCAAGCCAGCCATATTTGTAAGCCAAAGATAATCTCCATGCAGAATATATCAAGCATTTAATCCGAAAAGGACCTTTGCTGAATTTTAAAAGGCGCTGATGTCTAAACACGATCATTGATTGCTCAACTTAACCATTACATCGAATACTTCAACACAATTTATGCTTCCAGATCACAATCAGTGCTTTTAAAAAACTCCAGACAGCAAGTTTGAGTTTAAAGTAATTTGTCTGTCTGTGTTTAGTTTTTCATTTACTTAGCTTTAAAAGATCAAAAGTCCTCTGACAACAAGAACATGTTGATTAAATTCAGACAACTGCATTCCAAGTTACAGTTAATGGTTGTTGTTTTTTTTATCAGTGACTTAGTTTATGGCCTCTGACCTGGTTTCTGTGTCTGTCTCCCTGTGCTGAATTAGATGGGAGATGACATGATTCAAGATGTCACTCAATACATGTACATTTTTTAGCTTTACAGGCAGTCCTCAACTTATGACTGGTCACTTAGCAACCATTTAAAATTACAACAGACCTCCCAGATAGATACTTATGACCCTCATGATTCAAAGTTCCGATAGCTGTAAACTTGGGTCAATCATGACATATGGCCATAATTCCAGACACAATTGCAGTCATAAGTGAAGGACTACTTGTGGTATGTGGGATAAGGAGTGGGGTTTTTTTTTTTTTGAAGCACACGAAGTGTATACCTTACTGCCATCTCCCGAACCATCTTTACTAGCACCATCTTTAGAAGCAAAGTATGCTGGTGTTTCAGAAAAAGTTCGAAAAGGAATAATTCTTAGAGGCTGAGTTTCACAAGTCCCAATTATTCCTAAAGCAGGGAAGCAGGAACGCCCGCATGAAATTCCTGAAAAAGGAAAAAGAAACAAAAGATTTTTGATTATTCGGTGTACATTTTCAGTAACTTATCCCCCACTTCATGGAATCTACTTGCTGAACCTTGAACCCAAGAAGTCACTGAATCTCATTCCCTTAAGGAGACTTTCTTCAATGATGGCAACTTCAGGCGCATGGACTTCAACTCCCAGAATTCCCCAGGCAGCTCCTCCTGGTTCATGAGTCTGAGAGTTGAAGTTCAACCCTCTTAAACTTGCCAAGGTTGGAAAACCCTGCATTAAAGATATACAATCAAATCCCATTAGCAAGTCCTCCCCTTCTATGGCAAATACTTTCCTCTCCAATGTAAATACTCTTAAAGGACTAGAGTGCAACCCTGCTCAAAATGCAGACCAAGTTAATACAACACATAATGGGGGATACTTTCACATATAGTTTGTACTGAGGAATGGCATCCCAAAGGTGCTTTTTCAAAAGGAAATGGACTTTGTTTTTTTGCTTTTGGAAAAAACAAAGTCCAGTTGCCTTTTGAAAAAGGACCTTCGGGACAATCATGACTCGGAGGACTGACAATCTCCACAGACATGAGGAATAGCATCTGTTATATATCAAGCCCCAAGCATTATTTCCTTGTAAAAGGTATTCTTCTTCTTTTATTTTGGAAAATTTTAAGATGACCAACAGTCCCAAAGCAATTTATCATAACAGGAAGAGCAACATAAAATACTTACGAAAATAAATTGCCAGGGAGTGTACCCTTGACCTTACTAAAAGGAAAACAGTGAAAAATCAAGGATGTTGAAAATCTTCTGTCTAGCAGAATTTAGACACCATTCCAAAGTTTATTTACCTCAATTACTGCTTGTTAACTGCATTTGTATAACATTAGCATTCAAATTATGAGAGTTCCAGCGTAACTCAGAATCACACAATGGTGGACTTTGCAGAATAAGAAGTTAAATTTCTGTTTTCTTCATGAATGCTGCTGTTTGTGTCTTTTGACTCTTACAAACTCAAATCATGAGTCTGGCTTGCTCTTCTTTGCATAAATTAATTTCAGAAGCCTGTCTGTCTATATGAAAGTACCTATTAATTCAGATTATGGCTAGTGCTAAACTACAGAATGTCATTATACAACATTCTTCCTTTGCAAATTTAGATTCAATTTGCTACTTTGGCTCTTACAACTCAAACCTTGCAGAGACATTTGTATAAGAACAGATTGTGCCTGTTTTTTATACTTAAGAACCAGACCTGAATTTTAGAGTACTATACTAGTACATAACCAATTATGTTTTGAATATAAAGGCTAATTACCGTAATAGAACTGAACTAATCCAATGTCTGCAATTCTCAATAAAAGTTTGCTCAGGACATTTCAACTTCTGTTTTTCAAAAATGTTCACGTTCCCATTTTTTAAAAATTAAGCTGCCATTTAACAGAAGCATTAACAACTTAGTTATACACAGTGCTAGGTTTGTAACTACTTATTTACATTTTTACTTTTATTATATTAATAATACCTGAAGTATATTTGAATATTTCAAGTGTATAATTATAAGATCAGATAATGCTACACCGGTGTATAATTATAAGATCAGATAATGATATGCTCAAACTAAAAAAAGGTTAATTCTAAGCCCAGTGGAATGTGATAGCAAAAGCCAGATAGGGAACCTGAGAACAATGCTTATAAAGACATGAAGGCAGAATAAAAGATTGAGATGGTGGTAGAAAACAATATTTATTTTCAGCTTTGGTGTTAAATAATTCAAGACAAAAAGTTGCTTCTCTGTAACAGAGCCATTACCAATGATGGATATTAGAATGTTCACTGTGTAAATATGGTTTGGTAGGAACTAATCAAAAACACTTAAAAACAAATCCTCACGTTATTTTTGCACACATCGTCAGCCACTGTGGCTTTTTTAAGCAGAAAAAAACAGCGGCCTAGCAAAATATGTGAACCAGTCAATATGTTGCTTGACTGTGCAAATAACATGGAAGTCGGAATACATAGAACACTTTCCAGATATGGTAACTAAATCATACAGAAGCAGATTTTTTTTAATTTAAAAAACATTTGGAGACACTACAGGCCAAACAAAATATGTTTGTTTCACCCAGATCTCAGCAATCCTAGAAAAATCTTTCATCAGCAAAACAGAGCAAAGAGAGAGCTTACTCAATAGTTCATGAGGAATCAAAGCTCAGGATACAGTTTGGACACTGTTTTGCAGTGAGCATGAACCCTGATCAATCTGAAGCAACATTATAAAGTTCTCTTCTCCACAGATAGTATTCTGGCAAGACTGTTAAGGGCAAATTGGAAAATACTTATCCAAGATTATGTCTAATGTAAACATCAATCAATGGGACTTACTTCTGGGTAGATAGGCATAGATCTGTCCTGTCAGAATAAAGTTGAGAAGAGAAAATATACAAATAAACAAGCAGAATTATATTTATTTATATTTTTATATTTCTTTAGAAAAAAATTTATGAGGATATAAAACAAGTAAAACTTTGCTCGGCTGATGAATGACCTTCCCTTTAATATTGTTTACTCATTAATCCAAATTTGAAATTCCTGAAATTGCCAATGGGTAATATATTTATTTATTTATTAAGTTTTCGCGGGTACTTACATGTATGGTATTCAGCTTTGTTCGGGTATTTTCCCACATCTTTGTAGTTGTGCTTTTAAAGTTGTAGCAACGTTTCGGCAGAATCTCATCTGCCATCATCAGGCTTCTGTATTGTGTTCGTCTGTGAGTCAGACTTTTACAGTTGTTTCAGTTTTAA